GCTACTGCAAACCCAACTATTACTTATTTTTCGCAACAACGGCCAGTCGTGAGCATTGGAGGTGTATTAAATGAGCCGTGGTCATAATCAGCTTAAAAGAGTTCCGTTGTTCTGTTCTAAAACACTCAAATATTACGAAACACAATTAACTTTTTAATTGTGATTTAATTTCCATCCAATTGTTAACTGGAACAGTTATTTTATTTCCCACATTTAAATAATAAAGAAAAACAGCTCTCTCAACACAAATAAAAATGTACATTAAATATTTGTCCTAATTTTTTTTATCGCGGGACACTGGAATGAAATTAGACAATTTTTTTTTTTAACATTTCTGCATTACCTTTAAACTGCCCTGCTGAAACGGTAACTCCGATGATTCCTAATACGTACCACTACCGTACCGTCCAAATACCGTACACGTGTGCATTTTTACGTTTCCCTGAACGCATTCCAGCTATTTTGCCTCCAGGGCGACGCTCTGCCAGCGCTTTGGGAGCCGTTCCTCCGCTCTTTTGGCATGTCCGACCGCACGTCGCCCGCTTCCTGTCGCCGCTGCTGCCAGAATTTTTCGGATTGGTGGAAAGCCAACACAGTGACAACTGGAAGACCATCGCAGCGACGCGCCAACGCCACTGGTCCAGCGGTTATTTCCAGTGAAAGTTAATCAACACAGGGATGAGTTTCACGATGTTTTCATCTGCGCGACCGTGAACCAGGAAAGTTATTTACACCACAAATAGTATTACATAAATTGCGCCGTGTTAGTCTGGCTGGCCACCATCTAATCTCGCACGCACTTGTTGCCTCTGTAAGAAACGCTAATTGGAAGCGACAAGAATGGGCTCCACTGAGAGCACGTGCGTAAACCCCACAACTCGATTCTAATCTCAACTTGTCAACAAGGAATTACATGATTTCGTTTCGTAAACGAAGTGTGAGAATACAGACTGTATTTTAGGGGCAAGCCAACGGGTTTCTATATGCGTTCCTGCCTCATGTATAATATCAATGCTCAGATTTGTTGTTGCATATCTCTTGGGTTGAGAATGAAGGAGTTAAACCTGACATTTCTGCAAACCAATATAATGGTCACCAGAAAGCTCTGGTAATCAGACATTGATGAATGTGTATCAAATTTCGAGACGGATCATTTTTCAGCTAATATTCCACGAGCACGAGATCGTATGGATTACTTCTATATAATATTTATTTAAACAAGTACTGCAGTTAAACGTAGTTAATTATTAAAACAATTAATACATAATATATACACCTGTACACAAAATAATACATTGATCGTGCATAAATTGAATACTTTGAGCTAAGCAAAACACTCGACCTGTATCATAAGAATTGTAAACAATATAACTAATTCAAAAGCCAATTCACAAGCCTTTTTTTATGGTCTCATCAACAGCTAGAACATTAGCGAATATATATATA